GCCGAGGCCGAATTTTCGGAGCCCACACTGGACTTCTGAGGAATACAAAGTTCCCACTACCGGCCTTCATTGTTGGACTTCTGAGGAAAACAAAGTTCCCATCACCGGCCTTCATTGCTGGAATTCCGAGGAATACAAGTTTCCACAACCGGCCTTCATTGCCAAAATTTTAAGGAATACTGGTCTTTCAACTGGCCTTCATTGTCAGAATTTTGAGGATAGGTTCTCATCACCGGCCTTCATTGCCAGCTTTCTTTTGTGGTTGCTATCCCATCCATAACCAATGCAGCCTTCATTGCTGCCCTGCTTAATATAGCCTTCATTGTTACCTTTTGCCACCGCAATGACTGAAGCTAATTTCCCTCAAAATTTTGACCAAATGGTGGGCTCTATGGTGCACCGAGGAACTTGATAACTCTATTTTTTGTGACTAATTATCAAGCTGGGAATGACATATATGTATTCCACAGCTTGAGGGGGAGTGTGAAAATCCAACCATTAAAACACAAACAAATCCTACGGCTACAGCGTTCAATCCGTGGGATGCAGGACTCACGACAGAATACCTTCCATATTCGGGTAGCTGATTTAGGAAGGATTATATTAGAGTTATTCTGTATTTATTTGTTTCTTTATTAATATATCTTGTATAGACTTATAAATAGGCATAGTTTTGTATAATAAAATTAAGCATTTTTCTTCTCAAACCTGTGTTTTCAACATATATGAATAGTCAATGTTAGATATTTCAACCCCAAGTATTGTTCATTAAAAAAAAAAACTAGTTGATTGAATTGTATGATTCATATCATATAATATTATCAATTCAATTTTGGTCAAGCTAGTCCTGGATTTAGTTAGTTTGTAAAATATGAAACAAATTGTATAGTACGATATATATTTTATGGTTCAATTAGTTCAAAATTGGAATAATCTCAATGAATGCAAATTGATTATGTGGAATTGATTGAAATAATAAAGCATAGTGTATAGTACGATGACCAATATGGAATGTAATTTGTTCAAAATATGAAGTCTCAATTAATGTAGATTATATAATACAATTTATATCATACAATATGATACAATAACAACAACAACATCAAGCCTTTATCCCACAATGTAGAGTTAGCTACATAAATTCTTCTTCTCCATTATGTTATGTTAAGAGTCAAATTCTTATTTAAATTTAATAAAAAAATATCATTTTCAATATTTTCTATCCAAATCTTTTTTAGGTCTTCATCTATTTTTCTTAACATAAGCCAAATCTAATTCATTAACTCTTTTAACCAGGTCATTAGAAGGCTGACGTTTTGTGTGCAAAACATCTAATATGAGTCTCTCTAATCTTGCCATTGGAGCTACTCCAACCTTTTCACTTATATACTCATTTCATATTCTATCTCTAAGAGTGAAGCCAATTATCCACCGAAGCATTCTCATCTTTGATTTAATTAATGTTCAATTCTAATTGTGTGCCTGATGATCATCTTAACATTATCAGCACCTAAAAATAATATAATACATGACTAAAAAATAAATAAAATAATTTTGCATCTTGAAGCTTTGATCTTGATTTCACTCATGCTGATTGAATCACTAACTTCTTTTGAGCTGTGAATGTCTTTAGAATATCTATTAATCTTCATGTATCATTCTAACATTTACTTGAAATATATTAATTCATATCTATACTAACTTTAATTAAAGATGTTATCTTGTACTAAATTATGTTTATAATCATTAAAAATATTAAATATAACTTTATACTCATTGTTTTAACAGTAATGTCTTGTTATCTATCTCTTAAATATATTAGCTAAGTTTTTCATCCCTTGGGACATAAGTCTTCTTGCTTGCAGAAACAAAAGCTCTACTTGATTTTCTCCAAAGAGAGTAAAATTTGACTGATTGGGCTTTTGCACACTTAATTTTTTTCTACATGTTGGTATAAGCAAATCCATTTTGAGTTTCATATCAAATTTGGTGAAAAGCAAATTGATCAATGAAAGAAGAAACGCTTTTTTTTATAGAATAAATTTTCACACAAAGGAAAATGCTTTGATCTTCTTTACAATTGATAACATGACAAAGAATTCTACTGCTCATTGGGTATGACTTAAGTCTAAGTTTTTGACATGTGTGTTGACCTGTGTAATGGAAAAAAAAAATAAAAAAATAAAAAAATCAAATTGTGCATACCTACTCTGCTGAAGCCATCATGCACGTCCGCACGTCGTTCGCACGTCGAGGCCACGCCCGATGTCGCATCTCCTACGATCTCTTCGTGTCGTTAAAAGGGGGAGGGAAGGAGGCATTCGGGTTGTTGTTTCTCTCTCGCTCTATCCCGCATCCCCACCCCTTCAACAACTTCCTTCCCGTCTGATAGGAAGTTACGATACTTTGGTCAGAGGCAACATGGGAGCTCGCTCGTTGTGCAGGAACTTTCTCCCTGTCGCGCGCTGTTCGATCCCACCCCAACGACGACTTTCCCTTCTAGTCGATCGGAAGTTACAATGTCTTGATCGGAAGCAACGATCCGGGTTTGCTCGCTATAAAGGAAACTTTCTCCCTTTTGTCGCGTCTTCGGCTCCATTCGTGGCTGGTCGACTTCGCTCCTGGAACAACTTTCACTTCCTGTGGGACGGAAGTCACAACACTTTGATCGGACGGAACAACGGGAGCTCGCCGCCTCCTGGGCCCCTTAGTCGCTGTTCGACTGTGTTCGACTGCGCTCCATTTATAGACTTTCCTTTCCAGGCCGGCTCGGACCACGACATTTGGATCGGAAGTTACAACAGGCGCTTGCTTGCTATGGAGATAACCTTCTTCCCCATCAATCTCTCTTCGGCCCTTTGCTGTTCGACTTGCCCATTCGACGACATTCCCTTCCAGTGATTGGAAGTCTCCAACATTTTGATCGGAAGTAGCCACGGGAGCTTGCTCATTATGAAGGGCTTTCTTCCTTCCACATCGCCGTCGGCCAAATACCTGTTGCTGCAGCTAGCCCCCTTTGGCATTTTTTAATTAACTTCTATTATTATTATTAATTTTATTATTATAAA